CAGGAAATGGCATTTTCGAAACCCTTAGTTTCCGGGGGAGCCTTCCCCCGGAACGCGTAGTTTTAGAGCGTCTTCGGCTCTCTAACTTTCTTCCAGTGCGTACACTTTCTAAACTTCACCGCTTTCGCGCTATCTCGATAAGTTTTTGTTAAGATAGCAGGGGATTATCCGTGTCGACTATATTAGTGGTGATTGTTTTTTATCGCCAATTGAGTAACGATGTTACTGGTATACGACCATTTGAGACATCTTGAAAAGAAAAAACACCCGCCTCATTCACTTGCTCGAAGCATGCTTAAACAAAGGACCGGCTACGAGGTCGACCATAAAAGAACTCTTTGACTATCATATTGTTTTATATTTTACGCACATAAATACTCAATACCACAACCAATCCCCAAAATGTAGCCTAATGCATGATGTCAGTTGTGTTACTGTTTTATAGAATTACTAGGGAAATAAACCCGGTATTAGCGAATTTTAGAAATCTTGAAGAACAGCAGTTTCTTTTGGGAGCAGTCGGTAGTTTAAACGGTAAGAAAATATCTGATACGTTAATTAGGAAATTTAAAGTTACAATTTATGAGTTCACTCAATGGGATAGATTTTAACTTGTCTTGCAGTTTTTTTTTTACTGCAAAAAGGGACCAAAATTTCCGGTCATAAAAACATTGTTACTAATGGTGTGCTTAATTCACCGAGTAACTTCTCTTGGAACTCGCCTCGCATGTCGAAATAAAATTTCGATCAATTATAGGAAAAAAGTAATAATTATCGTGAAACGTCTTATAAATTATAATTGTTGTCGCATGGAAGAACTAGTAGGATAATCTCATTATATAACTTGTGCCCTTGGGCTACTGGTGGTTTCGCCCATTCGGCCGAGCTCAAGGAAAGCTGTGTTACTTTACATCACCTTAGCTGGCAGCTTGAAAGATCGCGAACTATCATTTGGTCACTATTTAGAAAGGTTATTTCCGACTTTCTGGAAATAAGAAACATATCAAAGCGCCAATATCATATTTGCTTTATTGGAGAGTCCTTATGCTTTTAGTTGGGTTCAGAATACTGTTAAAGGTGAAACAATAACAGCAGTATCAATTACGGCATTAATAATAATAATAATAATTATTATTATTATGATAATATTACAATTGACAAGAATGATGGAAATTATCATGGTACTGATAATAGAAATGGAAATGATAGGGATAGTGAAAGCGATTACGATATATGGCTTTACATGAGCTTTTACGTTATAACAACAGGTGCTACCATCGGGATTCATTCAGCGCGACGTGCTTCAAGTTCTAGAATCAACGTCCTGACAAGTGGGGGAGTGGGGAGTGGAGGAACTGTTATTCCCTCAAGTTCCTCGTCGACGGTACGGTTTTACTTACTTTCTGTTGCTTAAGGTAAAATATTCCTGCCATATTTAATGTGTGGGCAATAACGAAAATAATTGCTGTAATAATAATGGTACAAATGATCACAGCACTACTTCAACTCAGATTGCATAGGTAAAAAAGAGAAAGGAATTGCTTTAGTAGAGTTTGGTTGCTGTTTATATTATAGCAAACATATAGCAAGTGAGAACAGAAAAAAGCATGTGATATGTTTAGCACTCCTTCAAATCAGAGGCACTAAATAAAAGAGAAAAAATTGCTCCAGTAGGGTTTGGTAGCTAGCTAGTGGAGCTTGCTTTAGCAGAGCGAGACTCTAAAAATGCAGGCGTTTCTTTCTCTTTTTTTTCTTTGTCTGTCAGCACCAAATAGTAGGCCAGGCGTTCCTAGCGGAGACCGTGGAAACTGAAGATTAAATTCTTGACGACTTTCATTGCATGCTAATGAGTCTCTTAATGAGCATGCGGTTTATTTTCAGCGATGACTGAAACGACCCATGTAGGGTGATCACGTTTTCGCTGTTTGGCAGTGATGTAATTTTCTCCGAATCGAGACCCTTGATTTTCGTGTAATTATGTACCACATGCACGCGTATTAAAAAGTAAATAGGGACTTTAAGATACAACGACGCGGACGTGACGAAAGCCGACCGGAAGTAAAAATACCCAAAATGACTACCACTGCGCATGATGGTGACGTAAACAAGCCGCGTCCTTGCTCAAGACGAACGCGCTGAAGACCATTTTGACGTTGTTGACAAACTGTAAGTATTTCAACCTATTTTGACTTATTTAAGACAGTGAATTGGCACTTTTTGTTTGTATATCGAAAGCTTAATTATCCCGGCTATATTCCTCATGTTTTTTTTTGTTGTTTTCTTTCAGGCTCAGTTGACTCTCGAACAGTAAACACAAGAAACATCAGTTGCCATGGCCTCGAATTCCAAACCGCAGTGAGTAGATTTTTGCATTCTTCGTTCAGTGAATTACGGCTAAAGAAACAAAACGATTTGTTGTATAAAAGCAATGTTGTTCCCGATTATTTCCTTCTTGTCGAAGATTTTCCCATCCTGGTTAAATTTATTCACAGATCTTGGTTACTCGCACTACGCTTCATTTTGCGGGAATTTAATTCACGCACTATTTCCCGCAGAAGTTGTGTGAGATTTTAAAGAAAAGACAACAAAACAAATTAACAGTAACATGTAAACGACTATGTTTGCCAAATAAGTGCCTCTGACGGGAAAATGTTTGCTTTATTAAGCAGTTCCTACACTGAGAGTAGCGGGTTTATAACTTTACACACACTTGGCTTGGCCAGCCGACGTCCAAGACTTTGCGGCTGTAAACGATAGATTCAAATTATTTTCTAGAAGTGATTTCCGCATATAGTACAACATTCAAGGTTTGCTTTAATTTTCTTGTAGCTGTGCACGTATATTAAAAAAATGTATATGTCGCTTATTTTTGTCGGCAGGATTATGAACTGGACGGAGGAACATGATGTGGTTTTTTGCCGAGAAATAATCTTTGTAAACCCATTCAGTGCAAAGAAGAAATCCGTTCAGCGAAGTGCCTTGTGGCAAAGAGTGGCGGATACCCTAAACAGCATTAAAGATCCTGTTTTTTTTGTGGATAAACGCTCAGTTCGAGACCATATCGGGGTTTTGGTGCAAAGATTTAAAAGAAAAGAGGCCAAGGAATTGAAGGAAAGTGGTATAAGCCCTACGAAAACTGAATTAGATGAAGCTATAGAACAAATTATTGCCATGGAAGAGTCTGCCGATGAGCAGCACGACCTGGAAGACGGCGAAAAGAGGGACAAGGTGGAAGGAGACAGGCTGAAAGCAGAAGAGATGCGCAGAACTGCTATGGAGACATTAGGGAAAACACAGAAGAGAAAGTCCGAGGAGGGGCAGAGCAAAGCCAAAAAAAGCAGAAGAAGTGGTAGTGAAACGGTAGAGTTTCTTAAACTAAAGGCGGAGCAAGACATGGATATTAAGAAGCAAGAATTGGATTTGAGAAAACAGGAGCAAGAGAAGATGGCTATAGCCCAAAATCAGCAAACTTATATGTTCAACCAAATGTTAAAACAACAACAGGAACAGCATAAACAAATGCATGACATGCAATCCTTACTAATGCAGCAGCAGCAGCTGCAAACCACAGCAATGATGAAGATTATTGAAACACTAGTTCCGAAATAAACAAACTCGGTTTTTTTTTTAATTCCTTGCGGTGCTTCAGGTCTCGGTTTACTTTGTTGTTATATAAACTTGAACTAAGTTGGCCTGGACTTCAATCCGGCGAAAGACAATCAGAACTGTAACCGTGTTAGATGTTTAATGACTGGAGTTTGGACTTTATTTCCACGTGTTTAGAAGGTTAAAAATTTACATTTTTCATGACTGGATTTAAATTGATGCTGACAGCCATAATAAAGCCAAGTTATTCGTTGTGTTTAATTTTATTTGACATTGATTTACTTTTCTTGGTATCTTCCCATATAAACGCAGAACAGTTTTTAGGTCTTATGTTGGGTGGTTACAAAACAGCATGATTAGGAAAAATAATGCTCTAGAGAAGGTGGATCTAGGTCAAAAAACTGGGATGTTGAATTACCGTACAAGCATGTTAAAACATTTTGAAGGATTGCACAGACAATGTACATTTTGCCTACTTGGCTTAGCCCTATTTTTAAATTCCGTTTGAAATCAAGAAATTTGAAATAATTTAAAATATCAGAAAAAAGCCATTCAACGGAACAGCGAACTGCACTCATGGAACTGTTGTAAGCTTGCTGTTGGGGAGTCAGTATTCGCTGCCGGAAAGGTCCCTGGAGATGCATTCGAAGGGGATATGCTGGATCCCCGTATATACACATCGGTTGGCCAGTTGTTGAGACAGCATGCGCCCTGAGACTGTTGTAAAGGCCAGACTCTGCCAACATTGCTGCGTCATGCCTCCTACCTTCTGTTTAGACAAGATAAGAAACTTAAGTTAATAAATAGAAATCAGTGTTGATATGTTATCCATGCAGTTTACTTCTTTACTGACAGAGAGTGGCAAGAGAAAATGGGCCGGTGGGGGTGAGGGTGAGGGTGGTCAATGGAAAAGCCCGTGAAATTCGAATTTGCTTTTCTCACAATTGTTTTAACCCTTCTTCTTATAATAAGCATAGTAATTGGGAGGAGACTTAAGAAAGAGTAAGTAATGAAAGCAATTTTAGATCTTCCTAGTAGGTTTGTTTGTAGGGTAACTGAAGTGGAGGCTTGCAAGCTAAAATATTATTTTTAGTTTGTTAGCAGCGTGGCTTACCAACTGGACCATACAAGTGTGCAATTAACCCATTCGGTAGGACCAAGGACTGAAACTTTAATCCATGTACGCGTTTGTGACCGTTGTAGAGTAGTCGCTGGTTTTCCCCAGGTCGAGTAATTGGGCGCACGGTTCCATCTACGAAACCAAAGCAATTGCTTAGTGGCGCACCTTTGTTGAAAACAACTTCCGCATACTTTTCCAGCTCCAGTGGATTTAAAATGGTTTGGTTCCACTGCGTGATTCTGTGGCTATGATGCGCATAAATCCAGTCTGTTACGGTGTTGCTTATCATACAAAGTTCTGGAACCGGTCGTCCAAAAATAGGTATCATGTCGGAGTACCGACAAGGAAAGGCATATCGCTTTAAAAGCATACAAAGCCCTTCTGTTCCTTCGCAAACCGTTCCCTGGTCGCATACGAAGAATTGCGGAATTTGAAGAACATCTTCTACCAGAGGAATGTGGTGCTTTTCAACCCTGAAGTTCGCCCTACACTCAGCTTCACTTTGGCTCTCCAGATTGAACGGCGGGTAGTTGTCGTAAGGGAAATCTAAGTTGCTTGAACTGTTTTCTTCGAAAAGTAAAGAAAATTCCTCATCCGTAATGATACCACAGGCATAGCTAGCAAGCAAAACTTCTCGGGTTTCTTTAAAAGTCGCCATTTGCACTAAAAACACTAATATAATTAGTATCTGTTACTTCGGAGAGAAAAACAAATTCGCTACTTTTCTTTTCTATCAATAAGTGGCCGCGTCGCTGAATCCCGCCATCTTAACTTATTTTTCCCGCCACAAACACGGCGTCCTCGACACAGGCCCCACGCGGCTACGGCGTCTTTGATGACGTCCGCGTTCTTGTATCTTAAAGTCCCTAATATTCTGAGTAGGATGAGAAAATGTTATAGCGGGGAAATCCCGTTTCGTTGTGTATTAAGACGTTTCGTTTCTCAGAATATTGTCGCAATTACTGGCACTCTACGGTGAAATAGATTCACTTTGTTGTATGTATTTGATTGATAGATTTTTTGTTATAAATACTTAAGATAACAATGATTTAAACCTTAAGTACAACTACGCGCCTGACGCTATTGTATGTGTCACGGATGTGTTTATACGGGTGGCTTTGTACTTGACTATCACCTACTCTAGTTGCAACACTTCATGTCCATAGAATAGATATCCCATATATCGAACTTTTCCGGAACGGCCCAGGAATTCTATCGCTTGAAAGCGTTGATTACATTGGAACAAGTGATTACTTCAGTGGTCGAAAAAAAGGATAATCTTAATGATTAAAACTTCGAGGTTTGCTAAAAGAACGTTGAAAAAGTCTTTATCGATCTGTAGCGAGGTGAAAAGAACAGTGTAGCTCAAATAAACGAGCGCTTCATTATGTTAAGAGAAACACATGGTCCATAGAGTACAGTTTCGACGGCAAGAAACCCAATATTCTCTCCTACTGTTACGCAACAGATGACCAGGCTGATCAGTCCTATAAATCCTTTATGCGCTGACCAAGTTGAACTTTTGACACTTCCTGCAACGCTGGTGGTAAATCTACCTGCGCTTCCTCCCTTCAAGCACTAACCATTTAGCGCTTTCAACTACGCCCAAGACTTTGAAACCAGAGTAGAGGAATCGATTAAAAAGTGCTTCGAATTCGAAGTGGGCTGCCCTCATGAAAAGTGGCCGGTATTGTCCCATGTCTGATACTTTCAAGCCTTTGTCACCACTCTCGGCTATATGTCTCTACCAGCGGTGCAAACACTTACAAAGGAAGATGAAGTCATGATGAGGGACTGGATAGAGAACTTAAGACCTGTTTGACAACAAATGGTAAGACTCTCAGCCGAAGCAAAAAGAACATTCCTATGTCGAGTCTAATAGAGAGAAAGCAACTCCTGACTACTCATCAACGCTTACTCCAGAGCCTAAGCTCCTAACCTGCTGAGCCACTGAGCAGTCTAAGCATTTCAGTGACATCAATGAGCTGCGAGCAGCTGCTTAACCTTCGTCAAGGGGCTATGTCATGCTACTTGCTATCTTTTCAAAAAGCTAAACTTTCTTTTCGCATCAATCGAATTTCCAAAATAACGGTATAGACGCTATTTAATAGTATTCGACTGTTTCCCGTCTTGTGTTGCAATTGATTGCAAGGACAGACATTCCTTGAAATTTAAAATAACCTTCCTGATAATCTTGAAAAGTGTGACGACTTTAATCTATTTAGTTCTCGCATTTCTAAATTCTTTTAAAAAGAACTGGGCAAAGGCCAGCTTATCTTAATTGTACTTTAAGAGTTATTCATACGATCATCGTAAATACTTTCTCTTTTAATCGTTACTTATTCTATATTTTATTATTTTTTTGTTGTAAATACTTGATACATTTATATACATATATATTTAACAATTATTCGCCGAATGCTAAGTTAATATTGTTGAATAATCCCAGAAACAAAGTCGAGGGGATTATTGAACAATATTAACTGAGCCTGAGGTGAATAATTGTTTTAGTATTGCTGGTTTTCAGAGTCACGCCATTCAAAATAGATCAAAATAAAAATCAAAACCGTTCAATAGATAAAGTCCAGAATCTGGGAAATGATAGGAGGTACATATACAAAGATCCTCGCCAAGATTCAGGTCAGAGGAGTATTTCATATACGAGATATCCGAAGAAATGTTGGCGGATGGAAACCAACAGAAACATCTGTTACCGAGTTTTGGTACAAGAGCGTGAATTTATTCTTCGAGAAACTCATGAACATTAAAGTAATACTTTTTCTAATACATTAACTGTTTAGATGGCAAAATTTCCTGAAATAAGTCATTTTTTTAACTTACATGACTGCTCTGTTGGTCTTCATGTAAATGCCGCGTCACGCAAAAGCTTAGAAATTCAAGCGTACTCTATCACAAAACCAAGAACCTTTTTGAAGCGAAAATTTGTATGAAAATTAGTTTTCAGCTGCTCTAATGCATCGTGAAAGTAAAATCTCGGTAGGAGTAATAGTTTTTAATTTGAATTTTAGTGACGTCATGTGAAAACCAGTACTATTCGCACGAAGTGATCTCAACAGAATCAGAAAGAAACCATTAAAAAACGATTAGTTTGATTGACGGGTGAATTCATGCGTGAACACGAAGTCGTAAACAGTGCATGCGCAAAAGTTAGATCTTTACAGTATCTTCGAAAATGGCAAATGATAGTTTTAATCTTTTTGTATCGAGTTTTGTAAGCTTTAGCATCAACGGTTTAAAGAAAACGCCGAAATTTAAATTACTGCCCAATTCTGAGAAGAAAAGTAGAACTTTATTTGTTTCTGTCAACTCACCTTGAATGAGGAAGTTTTCTTTGTCGCTTCTTGCAAACGCTGTCAACAGCGACTACGATCAAGGTGAGCGTTGTTTATCTCCAATGTTCTTTGCCTTGTTAACTTGCTGGCACGTATAAGTACAATTTTCGAAAGTATTTGCCTTCCTCTTTTCTCCATAAATTAACTCCTATTTATTGGTCTTGCGAGAAAATTCCGAAATCACAAAACAGTGACAAAGCGACCTTGTTTTCCTCTGTAGTGGTAAACGTAGCTTCGGGCGTACAAAAAGTCAGCTACAGTAAACCATTTCACAATAAATCACGCCGTTTAAACACCATGAAGTCTTTTCCTGCTTTCAAAGTCATCAGCACTTAGATATTCGTGTATTTTCAAAAAGGCTTTACTATGAAACTTTGGCAAAACACCCAGTTCTCGACAGCGATTTTGTTCTGTTTATATTCACCGCCTTGCGCGGTGAATATAACGTCATAGTCCGAGATAGCTAACCAATCAGATTGTTTGAATTACCAAGATCACTGAGTGTGTATATACTAAATATATATTCTTGGTTTGCAACCACGTGACAAGGCGGCCATGTTGGGGGTCAAAACAAAAGAATATTTCCTCGAAGAATTTACATGAAAATAGAGTTTAGTTCCCAGAGGAGAGAAATGCTTTTGTTCTTGACCACCAACATGGCCGCCGTGACGTCACGTGCAAACCAGCAATATATTAGTTATAGGTATATCCTGTTATTAGACCGTTTACTTACTTACTTTTTCTTTTTTACTTTTTTTTTCCTAAACAACATTTTATTACATATTTATATAGAAAGGAAAAATTACAAAAATTGTAAACGAAACTAGAAAAAATTACCAAATTACAGTTTATAAAAGTTGTTGAATATAACAATTAAAAATAGATGAAAAAGAAAAAAAACAAAAACAAAAAAAAGAAGAAAGACAGTAACTCTTTTATTTATTTATTTTTTACATAACATAGTAACTAAGGTAACTAACGAAAACCATATTTGCCGGTAAATTAATTATTACATATATATTATACGCACATGCATGTATCCACAACAGTTTTAAAAAGGAAAGACAAACAAACAAATTAAACAGACAGACAATTTAAAGAGGAAAGTTAAAGTATTAAAAAAAGAAAGAAAAAGAAAAAGAAAGTCTTAAAAATTTAATACAGTCTAACCTCTCGTTACGGACACCTCTATAATACTAACCTCTCTAAATTATTTACTTACGGCTCGTTTAAAGCCATCATTATGATTTGGATTCAATCACATGAGAGAATCCCTTAAAACATGATCCAGTCCCTAATTGATCTATTAAAAAAAACTAGACTTGTATTTCCCGATATGAAGGGTTGAATGAACTTCTAAGGATTACACCAGTACTTGCTGGCGATTCTTCCCTAAAACTCCTTTAACCCGGGTACGTTTTACCTACAACCCCTGTACAGCTAAAACGGCTCCTTCAAAATAACAAAAACGTGTATTGGAAAACATATTTGCTAGTTTTCTTTTTTTTTTTTTTCAGACACCGTCCACTATGCAACATGGAAGCTTTAGGTTTCCAGATAATTGCCAGGATGCTGATTGCGATTTTCTTGTGACTTACCAAGCCTCCGGTGATAACAGTGTGGTTTTTGAACTAAGAGGCAGAGGAAACTGGGCAGGAGTGGGATTTAGCGATGACAACCAAATGGTAAGTAATCTTAGTCTGCAGAATCGACTTATCTGTAGAGGCGGACGTACGGACACAAGGACGGACGTTTACGTGGTGAGCAAATTTCTCGAATCCATAAATAAAAAGAGCTACACCTTGTTTTATAAGAGTGTGCCATAGATTGGACGCACTCGAGGTTAGCAGTTACTAATTTGTTTTTTTTTTTTAACGCTAACGCTTAATTGGTTTTCTCTTCTGCAGTTAACCGAAACTAACCTGACAAAAGTCAGTGGTTCCAAAATTTCAAAATATTCATTTTAATGGTCCCAAAATCGCTTTCATTTGTAGGTCTCTTCGGACCCTTCCCGGATAAAAGAAGGCTGAAACAGGCTATATCATGCAGCCAAGGGGCATACGATCAGCCGTCTCTAAATTAAATGTTTTGTTTAAAACAGTTAACATTTTTTTACCACTAACTGCTTAACATTTTCTAGTTTTTAGTTTTTTTCTTTTTTTTACGCCCAACTAATAATAATTTGACCCTTGTTGAAGCCCTCTCTAACTCTTGCCTGAGTTTTATCTCGCTTTTCGACAGCCTAATACAGACATACTTATTTGTGCCAGTGATACCTCACTGAGTGGCCATTATTACGCAACAG